ATATATATATATATATATATATATATATATATATATATATATATATATATATATATATATATATTGTTAAAGAAAGAAATTGCTATATAAAGATCACCCAATAGACATTTCCACCTCTCTTAGGTTTATTACTGTGGGTAGTGTGTCTGTATCTAACCGAGAGAAAATGCAGCAAAAGAAAAGATATGTATGCTCGTTGTAGAAGACTTAGTGCAGTTAATTCCTTATAAATTAGGGTTTAGGGTTTAGGGTTTGGGGTTTAGGGTTTAGGGTTTAGGGTGGAGCAGAGCAGAAACAAATGCAGCAGGCGGACAATCGGCGATTGCATGCCGGCGGGAGGAATTTGTATTTTTTATATTTCACTGCGGCTCTTTACCTTTATTTCAATTCTTTTCAACTATGATATTAGAATAAGTATTTCTGATAGAATAAACAATTATAATAAAAGAAGAAAACCAGAGATACCTGTTTACATGGAGAGAGGCAGAGCCGTCGTCAGCGCCTCTCTCTGGCTCTTGCATGCGCTAAAGTTGCAACAGCGCAGTTATTAGTCTTCTTTACTGCCTTGAGCTTTAAAAATTCTTATTTGTTGAGTATTTGCATGCAAAATATTTGAAGATCGCGAGCTGAAGCCGCGGCAGGTGTGTGGCTGCTGTTCGGGTTCTTCTATCCCGGTCTTCTCGGCGCTGCTGCGTGCTTGACGACGGAGAATTCAAAATAAAATGGAAAAAGAAAAGAAATGCGGACAAAAGAGGGGGAGAAATGGCGCACGAGGATCCGGGATCATGTCCAAGGTGAGCGGTTGCATTCAACATAGCTGCCTATACACCCCGATGCTGTATTCTGCAGAAGTGGAAACCTGAAGATATTGCAAAAAAAGAGCAATTTACGCGAATTTCTTTTGAATCAGAACATTAAATATTATATTAAGTTTATAAATTTCATGATGATCGCAGTTTTTATTCATGAATTCCCGAGAAATACCCCTTTCTGTTTTGCGTTTCAGAGGAGGAAACTTGAAGTCGGAAAAGGCTGCAAAGGCGTCATCTTGACTTGCAACAGCAAACCTCTTGATGCATGCAACGAATTCATGAATATTTTAGACAGAGTAAGCTCTAGCACTGCTGCTAGAGCCCTGAAACTACACTTTTTTTTTCTTTTCTCCTGCTGCTGCTTTCGGCTTACTATGCTGCATAAACCCCTACAGCCCCCCCCCTCCCCCCCCTCACCCCCTCAACTCTGTTCGTTTCAATGGGACACTAACGCCATATGAATCCCGTGAAACTTCTTATTTGTTGCATGCAAAGGAAGATACAGCCGCCACTCGCTCATGTAGGTATTTGCTGCATCTGTTTGTTTTTTTTATTTTTGCAGTATTTGGAGGAGTTCGGCCCCCAACCAGACAGCCATTCAGACAGGTGAGAGAATTACAATTCATTTATTTTTTTTTTTGCGTTTTTCTTCTGACTGCTGCTGCATTCGGTGTCGCTATGGCGTTAGAGTTTAGGGTTTAGGGTTTAGGGTTTAGGGTTTATTTAGTTTATGTTTACACAGAGAGAAGGAGAAACCAGCAACGAGTGTATCTGCAGCAGATGTTGCTGATGGAATATCAGCAGAGCTACAGAGCCTCTCGGAGCAGTCTAAGCGTTTTCAGGTTCATACACAGCTGCTGCCGGTGAGGGTATTATAGGTTTTGTTTGTTTGTTTCTTTTTTGTTTCTGTGTTTTTTTTGTTTTAGTTTTTATATATTTGTTGTTTTTCTTTTAGTTTTTTGTCTTTTTTTTGATGTGCATTTCTTCTTCTTTCTGTATTTTGTTCTTTCTTAGTGTTTCACTCTCTTGCTATAAACTTATTGTATGCTTGTACTCCTTTATTCTTTTTCTCTTTTTCTTCTCATTTCTGCATGCATGCATGCATCTCTGCATGCATGCATTTCTGCATGCATACATGCATTTCTGCATGCATGCATACATTTCTGCATGCATGCATGCATGCATCTGCGCATGGATGCATGCATGCATGCATCTGTGCATGCACGCATGCATCTGTGCATGCATGCAGGGAGTGGTTTTTATTCGGTTTATGCGTGAGGAAGACGTTCCTTCTGAAATATGTTACGGGCTGCTGCAGTGCGCAGTTAAACACCCAAACAAATTCTCCTGCAGGTATTGTTACATTTAATATATTATTATATTTTTTTATGCTATGTTATTATATCATTATATTATTATATTATTATGTTATTATGTTTTTATAATATTGTTCCATTTATTTTATTATTATATTATATTGTTATATTCTTACATTTATTATATTATTATATTATTATATTATTATATTATTATATTGTTACATTTGTTACATTATATTGTATTATCAAATTGTTATATTATTATATTATTACATTTATTTTATTATTATATTATACTATTATACTTTTATATTATTATATTATTACATTTATTATATTGTTATATTATATTATTATATTATTATATTTTTATATTATTATATTTTTATATTATTATATTATTATATTATTATATTATTATATTATTATATTATTGCATTATTCTATTATTCTATTATTCTATTATCATATATATAATATATAAACAAATAAATAGATAAATAAATAAATGAATATATATATATATATATATATATATATATATACATATATATATACATATATATACATATA